GAGTGTAGCTAAAGTTATGGAACTGCTCGCACGACTTCTCAAAGGGGAGACACCAACGGCCCCAGTACCGGTCTCGCGCTTTGTCGCCTACCTAGCTCGGCAGAACATCGAAGAGACGACAGCATTCTGGCGAAGGCACCTCCAAGACACTAACTGGGCACGATTTCCACCCCTACCGTCCACGCAGCACATCGTTCATCCGCGCGATGTACTACAGAGCCAACTTTCTGTTTCGCAGAGATCAGGCGTGGCAACAACGCCAACGGTTTTGCGCGCTGCTTGGGCCCTCCTAGTCGCCGCACGTACTGGCGCCAACGAGGCCGTTATTAGCGTTGCACTCTCTGGTCGAATGGCCGCCGTAGAAGGAATCACAGACCTCGTAGCACCGACTGTTACTACTGTACCCTTCCGTGTTCTAGCCTCACGGGATCAATCCGTACGTGGATTCCTTGCTAGCGTACACGATCAGGCTACTGAGATGATCCCCTATGAGCATACCGGCCTTCAAAATATTCGGCGCATGCTCCCCAATCTTGGACGAGATTTCGACCCCGGGCACAACTTTGTGGTTCAGCTAGCTGGAGAGGACGAATTAGCAACACCGACGTTCGACATGAACTTAGAGCGTGAAAATACCGCTTCGGACGCCTTTGATTCCTATCCGTTGACAATTGAGTGCACAGTAGACCAAACAACAGGTGGCGTACGTGTCGAATTTCGCTATGACCAGGCAGTGTTACCGTCAAGTGACGCGGAGCGCCTGCTTGCTCAATTCAATCATGTCGTGCAGCAGTTAGCGCACAACGCAGATGCGGACCTGCCACTGGGACGTCTTACAATGCTATCGGCAGACGATGAGGCACAGCTCTCCAGCTGGAATTCGGTAATGCCACCGCGAATAGAGCGCTGCATCCACGATCTGGTTCAGGAACAGATGATCGCACGCCCGGCAGCAATAGCGATTAGCGCCTGGGACGGCGAGATGACATATGGCGATTTGGACATCACAAGTCGTCATCTTGCCAAAACCCTAGTAAGGCAGGGGGTGGGCCCAGAAATAATGGTCGGGCTATGTATGGACAAGTCGAAGTGGGCAGTCGTGGCTATGATAGCTATCCTACGAGCCGGAGGTGCAGTGGTTCCTCTCGGGGTGCAACATCCAGTAGCTCGCATTGAGGGCATCCTCCAGGATACGTCGGCGCCGCTGGTCTTAGTCGATGGTGAACATAAGCTGAGGCTGGCAGCGCTCGCAAGCCATACGCCATTGCTCGCTGTTGATCAGTTCTTCGACAACGCCTCTACGGTCCAAGAGGCGTCATCTTTAACATCTGCCGAAACGTGCACATCCGTGCGGCCAGGAAACGTGGCATGGGTTATCTTCACCTCTGGAAGTACCGGCATGCCAAAGGGTGTCGTCCTCGAACACGCCGCCCTGACAACGAGCGTAGCTACACATGCGCGCTTCTTCTCTATGGGACAGAAGACCTGCTGCTTCCAATTTGCTGCCTACACATTCGATGTTAGCATATCCGACACACTCGCCACGCTTTTCTCCGGTGGCTGCCTGTGCATTCCGTCCGAGCACAACCGTATGAACGAGCTTGCATCCACCATACAAGGCTTCGAGGCCAACTATGCGAACCTCACGCCTACGGTGGTGAATCTCTTGTCCCCTGTCGACCACCCAACGCTTTCCACCCTAGTGGTAGGAGGAGAGGCCCTCGATCCTGGTATTATCGAGGACTGGGGTGGCAGTAGCCGAGTTATCAACTCTTATGGACCTTCGGAATGCGCCATCCTCAGCGCTTGTAGCCACGAGCTCAAGAAGAAGGAGGAGGCACCGATCGTGGGAAAGCCACTCGCCGGCGGGTTCTGGGTAGTAGACCCAGCTGACTTTGGTCGGCTGGTTCCACTTGGCGCGCCAGGCGAGCTGCTTATTGAGGGTCCACTGCTCTCTCGCGGTTATCTAAACGACGCCGACAAGACCGCGGCCTCCTTTGTAACGGACCCGGTCTTTGTGCATCAGCTTGGTCTTAGCCCTGGCCGTCGCATGTATCGGTCTGGAGATATCGTGCAGCAGAACACGGACGGCTCTTTAAAGTTCCTCGGCCGCCGCGACACGCAAGTTAAGATCCGCGGCCAGCGGGTGGAAATCGGTGAGATTGAATATCACCTTGTAAAGCAGACAGATGTGCAAGACGCGATCGTGCTTTATATGCGTCAAGGGCCCTTAGCAGGTCGTCTCGTTGCCATTGTGGTCTTGAATGACACGGCGACACCAGCTGATACCCAGGGCATCGCGCGTATCCCGAAAGAGCACGAACAGAGCGCCACAAGACGACTTCGGGAGGTGCAAGACAGAGTATCACAGCACGTAATGCACTATATGGTTCCTAATACGTGGATTCCATTGGCGGCCGTGCCGGTGAATGCGTCAGGGAAGACGGACCGGCTTGCACTCAGTCGCTGGGTGCAAGCATTACCGTCGGACGAGATCGCGGCCCTTACGAGCTCTACGGAGGCAGAAGAGGTCGATCAGTCGGGAGCGACGGAAGTCGAGCAAGAGCTCCGGCAGGTCTGGAGTGAAGTCCTCGGCGTACCACTACCTAGCGTGAAGTACTCGGCAAACTTCTTCAGCCTCGGCGGCGATTCCATTACGGCCATGCAGGTGGTCTCTGCCAGCCGGGCTAAGGGCATCTCGGTGACGGTGCGCACCGTCCTGGAGAGTCAGACTATCTCGAAACTAGCAGCTGCTGCACAGGTCGGCAAGGACGCGAGCTACATGGCGCGTATACCGAAGGGCGTTTTCGCGCTATCGCCTATCCAACAGATGTACTTTGACGACATGGCGGCGGATGGACTTCGCGCTGATGGAGAACGCCGCTTTAACCAAGGGGTCTCGCTCCGCATGACGAGACGGGTGGAGCTAGAGGAACTAGCTCATGCGCTCGACGCAGTGGTCACAAAGCACGCTATGCTCCGTGCTCGCTTCCAGCACAGCCAGGAGTATGGTTGGCAGCAGAGGATAGCGCAGGACGTTTCCGGCTCCTACCGCCTCCGTACACACACTGTCGCCGACACACAGTCTTCGCAACAGGTCGTTGCGCACTCGCAGGCCTCGCTTGACCTCGAGAACGGCCCAGTGTTTGCTGCCGACTTGATCGACCGGCCCAAACGGCAACTCCTCCACCTTGTTGCCCACCACCTAGTAATCGACTTAGTGTCGTGGCGTATCCTGGTCCGAGACATCGAAGAGGTCCTTATGCAGCGTACGCTACCAAACCCGAACAGCATGTCGTTCCCTATGTGGCTGGAGTGGCAGCGGAAATCGCTGAGCACTATCGGCTCGGCGGCGGAGACTCTGCCAGCATCGATACCGGTAGCCAATTGGGAGTACTGGGGGCTTGTCCCTTACCAGGACGTGTGGGCCAACCTCTCTACCGCTACGGCGAAGTGCGACCCTCACACGACCGACCTACTTTTTGGTCGTGCTAACGCTGCTCTGAACACCGAGCCCGTCGAGATTATGCTGGCCGCTCTCTTTGTATCCTTCCGCGAGGTCTTTGCTGATCGGCCGGTGCCTGCTATCTTCACCGAAGGGCACGGTCGAGAGGCTGCCGACGACGACGTAGACCTGTCAGACACGATCGGCTGGTTTACTACTATGACCCCGCTGCATGTACCAGTCGGAGCCGATGCTACCGCCGCTATAGACGTCCTTAGACAGACGAAGGATCAACGCCGGCGTATCCCTAGCCGCGGGACTCCCTACTTCGGGAGTCGCTTCCTCACCGATTCTGGACGAGACGCCTTTGCAGCCCACAGTCCAGCCGAGATCATCTTCAACTATACTGGACGCTTCCAGCAGGCAGAGCGCGACAACGCTTTGTTCCAAATCGACGAGGACGACGACGAGCGCGACGGTGTTAACAACGGTGATGCTTTAGCCCCCGACACAACCACGTCATCGCAGGCCGGTGGTCTGGTGCGAACTACCGCCGTGCTCGACGTCTCCGTTACGGTTGAGGCCGGTCAAGTGTGCATAGGCGTCCGATTCAGCCGCAACGCCCGCCACCAGTCGGCCATCCAGCAGTGGATCGCAGCGTATGGCAAGACCGTAAAGCGCCTCGTAGAAGAGCTGATTGTCACGGCGCCAGCGGCCACAGCTACCGACTTCCCGCTCGCACGTCTGTCCGACAGCGATATGGCGACGATCCAAGGGCAATACCTACCTCTTATGGACCTCTCTTCTACCGCTAACGTCGAGGACATCCTTCCCTGCTCGCCGATCCAGCAGGGTATCCTGCTGACCCAGCTCCAGTCGCCGTCGACGTACTGCATCCAACAGACCTGCCGCGTCGCGTCTTCGGACCCCGCACTCCCTGTCGACACGGAGAAGATCATAAGCGCTTGGCGCCAGGTCGTCGCGCGCCATTCGATCCTAAGGACCGTGCTGCTCGAGCCATTACCGGCGCAGGACAAGTTTATGCAGGTCGTCCTTAAACATGCTGATATCAGCATCGTTAAAGCAGACGGCGTCGACGACAGTGCTGCGATGGACTGGTTCGCTGCGCAAGCGGGGCTCGGCCTCTCCAACCTTCGCTGCCCGCCCCATCGTCTTACCATACTCACCACGACTTCGGATGAGGTCTACTGTCGCTTTGACGTGAGCCACGCCTTGGTCGATGCCTCGTCGCTTACGCTTATTATCCGCGATCTCATTGCCGCTTACGAGGGGACGTTGCCAGCTGAGGGTGGTTCGCGCTACAGCACCTACGTCGCCTTCCTGGAGGAGAAGTCGCCGCAGGAAGACCTCAAGTACTGGAAGACCCTACTTAGCAACGCCGAGCCGTGTCTCCTACCGCCGCAGGAGGCGACGCACAGCATTGCAGAGGCGCAGCTCGCCAAGGTCTCATCGCGGTTTGGCGATTTAGCCCCGCTCCAACGTTTCCGTGACGAACATAGCGTCACGGTGGCTAGCATCTGCCAGCTGGCTTGGGCGCTTGTGCTCGCGACCTGGACTGGATCGCACAACGTGAGCTTTGGCAATCTCTCCAGCGGCCGAGATACACCAATCGCTGGAGTAGAGGAATTAGTCGGGCCTATGATCAACATGCTCGTTAGCCACGTGGAAATAGACTGGAACGCAAAGGTGTCGGACGTAGCCCGTAAGCTCCAAGGCCAGTCCGCTGAGGCGTTTGAGCATCAGCGGACGTCGCTTGCTGCCCTACAGCACGAGCTCGGACTTTCGCGGAGCCAACCTCTTTTCAACACGACAATGTCGTACAAGAGGCAAGCCCCGGATAGCTCGGTGCAAGCAGCACTTACTGTTGAGGGCGTAGATTGGGAAGATCCCACCGAGTACGACATTACCGTCGGCATCGAAGCTGGAGTAGACGCGCTCGTGGTCAACCTACAGTATTCGACGGCAGTGCACTCGAGTGCAGCGGCTACGAGACTTGCGAATAGCCTGGTGCAAACCGTTCGTCTCATTTGTGAAAATGCAGATCAAGCACTCGGGCAGCTTAAACTTCTAGCGACAGAAGACAGTGCACAATTCTACAAGTGGAACTCGATTATACCACGTCGAGTCGAGTGCTGCGTACACGATCTTGTAAGGGAAACGATGGCTCAGCAGCCGGCGGCGACTGCGATCAGCTCGTGGGACGGGGAGATGAAATACGGCGAGCTGGACTACGCCAGCCGGCGCCTCGCTCACCACCTGACCAGCCACGGCGTTGGTCCGGAGATGCTAGTAGGCTTATGCATGGACAAATCGAAGTGGACAGTAGTGGCAATGCTGGCTATACTCCGTGCTGGCGGGGCCGTGGTTCCTCTCGGGGTACAGTATCCGCTGGCCCGTATCGAGATTCTCGTTCATGACACTGCCACACCACTGGTGCTTGTCGACCGCGGTCATGAAGAACGGCTAGCGGCACTCTCGGGCCAGACAACGCTGCTCGCTGTCGATACCTTTTTCGACGAGGCAGGTTCGAGTCTGGCAGAAACCGCCGCACTCTCCACCGAGGCTTGCACATCCGTGCGTCCCGAGCACACAGCATGGGTCATTTACACTTCGGGCAGCACTGGCAAGCCTAAGGGTGTGGTGCTCGAGCATGGTGCCCTGTCAACGAGTATCCTCGCTCATGGATCCGATTTCCCCATACAGCGCCATGACCGTGTGTCACAGTTTGCAGCATACACCTTCGACGTCGCCATTGGAGAGGTTATGACGACTCTATCCTACGGCGCCTGTATCTGTATTCCTTCTGAGGAAGATCGTGTGAACCGTCTCACAGCTTTCCTGGCCGAGTCGCAGACTACTGTAGCTGCCTTGACGCCGACCGTAGCAGCGCTAGTCCAGCCGCAAAACACGCCGACGGTACGAACGATGATACTAGTAGGTGAGGCTGTCCCGCGAAAGGTAGTGGAACAGTGGATAGAGCAGGCCACCGTCATCAACGCTTACGGACCCTCTGAATGCTCTATATGGACGACGGCGAAAAAGGTCAGGGACCCAGCAACGGCTTCGAATATTGGAAAGCCACTATCTGGGGGCTTCTGGGTGGTTCATCCCGACGACATCAATCGCCTGGTGCCCCTCGGAGCGCCGGGTGAGCTCCTGATCGAGGGTCCATTGCTCGCGCGCGGATACCTCAACGATACCGTCAAGACCGACGCAGCCTTTGTATCCGACCCTGCCTTTGTGAAGGAGCTAGGAATGACCAACGGTCGGCGTATGTACCGCACGGGAGACATAGTGCAGCAGCAAGCGGATGGCTCGCTCGTCTGCCTCGGCCGCCGCGACACGCAAGTTAAGATCCGAGGTCAGCGAGTGGAAATCGGCGAGGTTGAGCACAACATCGACAGACAGGCGGCCGTGGAAGAAGCAGTAGTGCTGTTCCCTCAGGAGGGCCCATGCGCGAACCAGCTGGTAGCGTGTGTGGTCCTGAGCGACACGGCCTCGTTCTCGCCAGCCCGGTCTGGGGCCGGTGGCGTGTGCGAACTGCCTCACGATGAATGGCACGCCGCAGCGCTGCAGTGCGGCGCCGTGCGCGACGTGGTGGCGCAGCACGTGATGCACTACATGGTGCCCAGCCAGTGGCTCCCGCTCGCCGCTCTGCCGGTCAACGCATCTGGCAAAACCGATCGGCGGGCGCTGACCGAGTGGCTGATGACGCTGACGGCGGAGACGCTCGCGATGCGCACGGGACAGGGGCAGGTGGATGACGAGGAGGTGGAGGAAGAGCTGGAGACGGAGACGCAGCATCGCCTACGAGAGGCTTGGAGTCAGGTGCTCGGCGTGCCCCAACGCCGCATTCGCCTTACGTCTTCCTTCGTCTCTCTGGGAGGAGATTCGATCACGGCCATGCAGCTGATATCGGCGTGCCGCGCCATGGGCCTCGCCGTGTCGGTGCGCGCCATTCTCCAGAGCCCCACGCTGGCGGCGCTGGCGCTCGAGACGCGCGTGGACTTGCAGTCGGCCGGCGACGAGTCGGCGGTGCCCGATGAGCCTTTCCCACTATCGCCGGTGCAGCGACAATTTTTCGGCGACGTGGCCGCCGATGATCTCCGGGCCGATGGCGATTTCCGGTTCAACCAGTCGGTGCACCTGAACGTCCGGCGGGCGGTGCAAGGTGCCGACCTCGCCCGCGCCCTCGACGCCGTGGTGGCCAAGCACGCCATGCTGCGCGCCCGCTTCCAGTACACCGCCGAGGCCGGGTGGCAGCAGAGGATCGAGACAGAGCTCGTGGGATCGTACCGGTTCCGCGCGCACCAGGCCCCTGACCGCGAGGCCCTGGCAGCCATTACCCTCGCCTCCCAGAGCAGCCTGGACCTCGCCCATGGACCCGTCTTCGCCGCCGACTTGATCACCACTCCCGACGCCCAAACGCTTTTCCTGACCGCCCACCACCTTGTCATCGATTTGGTGTCGTGGCGCATCCTGGTGCGAGACCTGACTGAGCTACTGACGAACGGGGTCTTGCCCCGCCGCCACGCCTTTTCCTTTCCGCGCTGGCTCGGACGGCAGCGCCGCTTGGCCAACGCTGCTGTCGCGGAGCCGTCCGCCTCGCTGCCGTACGACGTGCCGGCCGCGAGGTGGGACTACTGGGGCTTGAGCCCGGGAGAATATACCGTAGCCGATCTCACCGAAGTCCGGGCCGAACTCGACGAGGCCACGACCGCGCGACTATTTGGAGACGCCAACGCGCCGTTGCGCTCGGAGCCTGTGGAGCTCATGCTGGCCGCACTCTTCCACGCCTTTGCCCGAGTCTTCCCCGACCGCGCTGTCCCCGCTGTCTTCGTCGAAGGGCATGGGCGCGACTCGGACGAGACAAGCGACGCGGCGCTCGCCGCGGAGACTGTCGGCTGGTTCACGACCATGACACCGTTGGCAATCCCCGCCTCGGAGGAGTTGGGTCTGGTGGATACGCTACGTTGCACCAAGGACCGGCGACGTGCTTGGCCGGAGAACGGCGTGCGCTATTTCCGCGAACGCTTCCTGCGCAGCTCGTCGCTCGACCACTTCGCGTCGCATCGATCCATGGAGATCCTCTTCAACTACCTTGGACGATTCCAGCAGGTGGAGGGCGCGGCCGACGGTCTGTTTGCGCTAGATGCCGAGGCCACCGCGTCCGACGTGGGCTCCCGCACCCGTGTCCTCGCTCCAATCGACGTATCTGTTTCGGTTGAAGCCGGTCGGCTACAGACCAGCGTGCGAATCAGCGAGAAGTCCCGCCATTACGACTCGCTCCGACGCTGGACGAGGCAATACGGCGACTCCCTCCAACAACTCATTGTCGAATTGACCGCTACCAAACCTACATTGACTGCGAGCGACTTCCCTCTTGCACGATTGGGCGATGCAGATCTCGAGAGTCTCAACCGAACCGGGGTCTACGATGTGGGTGCTGACGATTGGGCCAACGTTCAGTCCATTCTCCCCACGACGGATGCCCAGAGGCGTTTCATCACTGCCAACACGTGCAAAGAACAAGCTCATTACGATTGGCTTACATTCGACGGCACGGGGGAGCTTGACTCTGTCCGCTTCTCTCGCGCTTGCTCAGAGCTAGTCGCGCAGATTGAATGTCTGAGGACGGTCTTCAAAAACGTGAACGACAGGCTACTTCAGATCGTCTTGCGGCAATCGACGCCCAAGGTGAAGGTGGTCACCAACGCCTCCAATCTCGACCACGCATTGGCGGAACTCCATGCAGACGCTCTCTCCCGACCAGTCGACATTCAAGAACCAATGTTCGAAGCAATGCTTATCGTCGATCGAAAGGCGAGTAAAAGTCGTGTCGTTTTCCGCCTCTCACACGCGCTGTTTGACGCGGCATCCCTGCCTCAAATCCTGGGCGCTTTTGCCTCGCTCATTGGGGGAGAACAAATGGCAAGCCCATCCATTGCCTTCCGAGAATACATGGAGGACGTCGTCAAGCATCAGCATGGATCCTCGGCCGTTCAATATTGGCGTCAGGCCCTTCAGCAGATGTCCATACCTCACATTGGACCGTCTCTGCCAAGAGGGCAGCTGTTCAGGATGCGTGAATCCGAGAGATCTGAAGTCCACATTCCCAAATCTTCTTACCAAGGCATCGCACTTTCGACGGTGGTCAAGACAGCGTGGTCGCTCACACTTATGCGTTCTAGCCAGTCGGTTGACGTCTCGTTCGCAGAAGTTGTGGCAGGACGCTCGACGGTGCAATCCACATCGGTGAACGCCCTTGGATGCTGCATCGCCTTCAAGCCTGTTCTTGTCAGTACCCGAGGGGATCAGAGTCTCCCAGATCTGCTCCGAGCCATGCAAGATCGTCAAGTCGCCGAGATGGCCTACGAAACGCTCGGCGAACACAGCGTGCTGGACGAGTGCACCGACCTGCCACCTGGCACGGACTTCTCCTCTGTCATCAACTATCAACACAAGGCAGAAGCGATATCGCTTCGATTGAGCGATGTGGAATTCACCGGCGTCGACCACGATCTTTCGCCGCCGTACGGTTTCATGGACGTCGAGCTCTACATTGCAGAATCTCCGGGGACGCTCGGCTTGCAGATGCGCTTTGCAGACCATGTCTCAGCCGACGCGGCCGAGAAGTTATTGGCGTCCCTGCGTCAAGCTATCGTTCTGTTGACGAGCTCAGCGGCAGGGGATATGACCGCGGAAGATCTCATTGACAAATTGTAGATGGTGTCTTTTTTCATATGTAGAGTTCAATAGCTATGTGCATTCTTACACAGCCACTCGCGCACACGATCTGTTTGGTATCCTTCATCGCCATGTATCGCGAACAGATGATCACGTTGTTCCATCGGCCCGCTGTCCTGTATACAATAGGACGGTGGACTGTCCTCCAGCCGATGATGTGTCGAGCCAATCATAACGGAACGGATCATGTTGCCCGGCTTGACGATCCGTGCGGAGCGCCAAAGGCCAATCACAGTCGACAGACACCTCGTCCCGACCCGCTTTCTCGGGAGGTTTGCTGCAACGCCTAGGACAACGTTGACTGCGGCCACTCCGCGTCCTGGGACTATCAACCTGCTTTAGAAGGTGTCTGGTAGTCTTTCGGTATTCAAAGCGCCGTCCATACGCAAGTTCTCCGCCTCCCATCAAGAACGTGGGCGAAAGTTTGGTAGTTACGGTTACGACTATAAATTCCATAGTATACCACCTACGAGGAATGCCCACTCTCCTAGAGGCGTTTGGCGGCGGGTTCAATGCAAATGTAGACTTCATCCCATTGAAGAGAGTGACCCGGCTCTTTTTTTGAGGAAGATTGGACAACTTTATGCTTTCTGACTTGTTGCTAACGTTGCTATCTCCTTCTCAGACCCAGCCTCCGAGAAAACGCAGTCGAGGCATACGGTGTGGGTGCTTGTTACTGAAGAGACTAGCAGCGGTGCTGTCCCTCCAGCGGGTAAGACAACTCGTGCCTAAGCGCAGTCGCTGCCTATGAAACACGATCACTACCCAAATTGCTCGTTGAAATGGCTTCAATTAGAGCCAACTTCGCGCTACACTCGCCTTACAGTCGCTTCATCTCTGGGAAGATCGCGCCCTTGCGATCACAGAGCTGGTCTCGCTCTCGCCTAACTGCGAGATTCGTGCCCCGTTGCAGCCAATCAGAGCCATGCAGCGACTTTGGGGCGTCTGCGCACGGATCATCTTCCCGGGCAGCACGATCCGTGCGCTAACCAATACTTGATGGGTTTCACATCAATACTTGATTTGGAGGTCTTGGCTCGAATTCTCGATGTTCTGAGTCGTCCCGATCGCAACTTTGATACGTCCCATCAATATCCAGTGGTACAGTACTAGGGCCTAATCATTTGTGGACCTGCCTACTGCTCTCGATTGATCTGAAGTGTTTCCACGCCGATACCGTTCTCGGGAATCCATTGTTTCCACTCTCTAGAATACTCCATCCACTTGATTGAGTACTCCTTAACGCCACGTCTTCGTGTCTCTCCTAGTATCTCCTCTACGTTCCATATTTCTTGTTCGTCTAGCAGTATCTCTAGCTGCTGATTTACTCGCTCCGTTTCTTGGCTAGTCGTATCGCTCTCGTGCAGGCAAACATGTACTGGATGGTAAGTGCGCAAATTGAATGACCGCTCTGGATCGCAATAGCCATTCGCCTGTTAATATGGTTGCTTATAGCATTGTTGGGCCTATCGTTGCGAGGTCGAGCTTCTTCCAGACAAGACGAAAGACTAGGGCAAGTGTCGGGACACGGCAACTCGCTGCCTCGCTTGTACCGCCTACATGTAGCTCAGCAGCCGTACTTGCGCGCGACAAACCAGTATGGCGGGGTCTACAGCGCTCGTGGTCCGTCCTTGTCCGAATGTGCGTGACAACAAAAGCGACACCGTAGAAATTGGTGGCAAATCACAGACCTCAACATCAGATAAAGACTGCTGAAAAAAACAGGGCCTGACAGGTTCGGAAATTTCCAGAAGAGCGAGGCAGCGATCCATTCGGTGAAGCACGAGGGTGCGTCCAAGGGCTTTTTCATCGTTTGTTTGTTTCTTTCATCAACGTGCTATATAAAAGTCAAGGACTATATAATATGGCTACTTTAGTAGCTGCCTTCTTGTTTTTTTTTTCCCTCCCTATTAATCCAATCTATTCTAAGAAATAAGTAGCAATGAATGCCTGTCTCGCCCTTGCGAGTATAGTTCAAAGAAGTGGTGGGTTCGAAAGAACTTTAGGTTTGAAATGGGTGTCGGGTCTGGAATGGGCGTTTAGTTCAAAATGGGTGTTGGGTTTGAAAAGGCGTTGGGTACGAAAAGGATGTTGGGTTCGAAGGGTTGTTGGGTTGGAAATTGAAACCACGTTCTGCTGACACGTCGCAGTCGGTTTGCTGATCGCATTGGCCTAATCAACTGACAAGATTGTCTCTAGTATAGTACGTACGGGCACTTTATGCGACAGGGCCAACCTGGCCTACTGGGGAGCAGACGGGCATGTCATGTACACATCGCCTTCAAAAACAGTTGTTCTATTTGGCCCGGGTTTATACTCGTCCCTTGTCGCCGCCAGCGGCAGACTGGCAAATTCAGCTACGAAATGCCCCGAAGGCCCATGGCCGCCAAATGGCCCGCCACCTCAACGCCCTTGCATGCTTAACTTGAGCGCCTCTTGCAACTCTGCATCGTCATCATCGTCCGCGGTCAACACGCTCGCGCGGCCCTTGCCATTTCCCCGGAAATGCTGCGCTTCCAAGAGGCTTTGCTTCTTGACGTACTCCATGACGACTTCTTCTTCCGTCTTCTCCTGCATCGTCTTCTCGCTCGGGTGACGAGCTTGTGACGCTTCAAACTCCTGTTGCGTGGTGCCTCCGAGATGGACCGTACCGTAGCCGCGACCAGCGGCGGGCATCTTGTCCATCGACTTTCCGGATGTTGCTCTCGTCCATCTGTGTGGTTCATCTATATCCGTTTCCGACGCCGAGCCCAACTCGCTGTCACTGATGCTCTGTCTCTGGTTGTCATGATCCAATGCGCTGCTTGTCTGTTGCTTTGGAGCTTCCACTTTGCCAGCCGATACAGCCTGGCGCCAAGTCGACCGGTTCTTTTGGGTATCCGCAATCCCTTCTCGTTGGCGATGAAGCTCCGAGTCGTCTTTGCGAACCGCCCTCTCCACATCGACCTTTCGCTCCGCCGTTCGACCTGAGTACTCCTGGGCTGATTGTCGGATAGTTCCGTTCAGTTCAGCGGCTGACAGCGATTGTATGAAAACATTGTCGGCCGGTCCACTCGAGCGCTGGTGTGATGCATCGGTGGCGGTAGTGCTACCAGCACCGTAGGCCGGCGCGGCGACACCCGCGGTGTATGCGCTGCTGTGGTCGCCCTCGCCTGTCCCCTTTTGCTCCATCTTGTGCGGTCCTTTCCAGTCCTCTCGCACCTTCTCATTGGGATCGCCCTTTTTTGGCAGGTCTTTTTGGAGTTGCTTCCACCGAGCGATGACGTCTTCTATTTCCGCCTCGGAGCTCTGCAGCCACTCTTCGTAACCTTGCGCTGCCCGCGAATCGATGATATAGTTGAGCACACTGCTACCGAACCACTTCTGCACTTCTTTGTGGACGCCCTTCATAGTATGGCCGAGGATACCGAAGAAGGCGGCGCTCGGCTTGGCCACGAATCCTCCGACCCCTTTGCCGATCCCTGTAATGAAGCCGCCGGCCCCTTTCTCCCGCGCGCCCGTCCAGGGCTGAGTGACCAAGCCGGTCACGCCATCGTACCAGCCGTACCCAAATTCTCGACCGACGGCATACATACCCGTCTTGAAGTCAGTAACTCGTTCTTGAGGGCGCACAGTATCGTCTCCCCAGAGCTTGGGAACGTTGTGGAAGCCTTTGGTCCAGTTCACCGAGATCTCTACGGGTGCCTGCACCAGCGTCCTTACAAAGCGTCCAACGCCTTTACTTGTGTGCGGGCCAGCCGGACGCAGCATGTCTTGGTTCTTGCCGACACCGTAGTCAGTCCGACTGTGGACTCGACTTTGGCTACTCGCGGTACGCTCAATGCTGCTTGAAGAGTCTGCACCAGGCCCAGAACGTGATCTGGAGTTAGATACGCTAAGCGACTGATTGGAAAGATTCGAAGCACTCCTGCCGCTACGGCCGAGACTCGATGGCGGCATATTCAAGCTGGCCTGGCTTTGTGCTCGCGAAGCCTTGCCCTTCGTCGCGACCGTGGGCGCGGACGATGGCAATGGTGACGACGATGATGCTGATGCTACTGCTGCTCCTGCTGCTTGTGGCTGCCTATTGGACCCAGCCGGGAGCTGTAACGCTTTCCACGTCTCCGAGGGGATATCGGCGATTCCCATGGCCATGCCACCAAACGCCCGTGCAAATGCCGTAAAGCCTCCGGATATAGGATCCAGAGGACCTTCGTCGGTGTAATACTCTCGCGGCCGAAAGAGCTGCAAGTCGCGAAAATCCAAAAGGTTTGCATTCGCCAAAGTACAAGCGGCGAAAGCGCTCAGCCTGATCTTGGTGCGCTTGATGTGCCACACGGCGGCGCGATATGGGGCAAGAGAGCAACGGAGCCCGTCGGCATCGAGGTGTTGATGGAAGGACTGAGCACCGCTATCGATGCCTCGTTCGGTCGCGATCTTGACCGCGAGTTCGCCAGCGCGTTCCCTGCTGGCGGGGGTGAGGCAGAAGTTAATGGCGTCGGCCAGTTTGTCTGCCGTAAGTTGTCGAATGGGGATCGGATCGGGACCGGCACCCGCTCGAGCAAGCATGGCACCCCAGAAAGGCTGATCACCGAAGAAGGGAACGACTACCGTCGGTCGGCCCGCCGTGATACCTGCCGCAGTGGTCCCGGCGCCGCCGTGATGGACGACACAAGAGACGTGCTGGAAGAGCCAGTCGTGCGGGACGTTGCCGAGCATGAAGACATTGTCGGGGACATCAATTGCGCCGATGCCCCCCCAGCCCTGTGAAAGCAGAACACGCTGACCAGTCTTCCTTACGGCGTTAAGGATCAGCTTCGTCATGGCATTCGGGTCGTCCAGGACGATGCTTCCAAAGCCAATGTAGATGGGGGTTGGGCCAGCATCGAGGAAAGCCTGGAGCTCCGGGCCCGGGGTGTAGTTGGAGGCCAGATTGAGAAAGTAGAAACCGGCGACGGAGATGTGCGCGCCCCAATCTCTGGGTTTGGGGATCAGAGCGGGAGACCAGCAATAAGTGTGCGGGATACGGAGACGCTGGAGCATGCCGGGCGCCCACATTGAGCTTATAGGATCTAGAGCGAGACATTTCTTGCGGAAACGGTTGATGATGTCGCCGAGGCACTGCCACGAGAGGAGCTCGATCATGGCGTAGCTGACAAAGTTGGTAAGTTGAGGGTCAGCGTTGGAGGACTGGATGTTGGCTAGCGGATGGGCAAAGGACTGGGTAGGGGAATAGGGCATGGTGAACATAATGTGGAGAGGGACGCCCAGCTTCTCCGCGCAATGGATGTGGGCAAAGCTGGGGGGGTTGGCGATGATACAATCGGCGACGAAGGGACTGGCGTCAGTCTCGGGCTCAGACCGACGGTCCAGGTCGTCGTCCGCGGCGCTGGCGAAATGCATGCCATCGCCAGATTCGTAGCACGATCTCCAGCAGCCTTGGATGTACTCGGCGACGTCCTTCCTCCGTTCGCCAATGTCTCCGTTCATGATGCTGCGAAACCCAGGCATCAGGCTGGGGTTCTTGGCCATGAAGGCCATCAGGCGGGCTGGGTCGCCGCCGATGCTGAAAAACTCCAGGCCATTCTCCAGGACAAAGTCGCGAAAATGAGGGTGCGTGGCCAGACGGACGCGATGGCCGTACGTATCGTGCAGGACCTTGCCCAGGGCCACGAAGGGCTGCACGTCTCCGCGGGAGCCGACGACTTGGATGACGACGTTCAAGAATGGCGGCGGCGGGACTCCCCCTTGACCCTCCAGGGCGGCGGGAATATAGGGCGGCGGCAGCGGCAGAGCATCTTGGGCGGTTTCGACGTGCTGGCGCAAGGCGGGCGTGAAGATCTGCGACAGGTGGTGGTTGAACTGATTGATGCGGATGTTGACGCGGCCGTCGTCAGTAACGCGGGCGGCGGTGCCGGTGCCGGTCTTCTCGTCGCGGATCTCGCCGTACGTCTCACCGTACACGGGGGGCGGCAGCTCGTCGTCCACCCCGTCGGGCGTGACAAGGTCGGCATTGCGCAGCAGGAGGGGTTCCGGCGGGGCATCCGGGGTCAAGTGGCCGGCCTGGGCGTCGGCGACGTTACCCCTGTCGGGCCCAGCTGGCACCGGTCGGCCGCCATCTACCGCGCGCTGTTTGGCCCCCATCCTGGCTGCACCCCGCGCTGGGACGGGGAAAGACAATGACTATTTTGACGCTGGGCTAGGGCGGGACGAGGTCGAGTTCGGGGGCTGGGCGGGGCAGGCTGTCGAGCTGTGAAGGAACGGGGACGGGCGGGGTCCTGCGACATACATACGTCTATATGGAGTCTAGGCAGCAGTTTTGGCCGATGACGAGGCGTGCCGCACGATCGACGCTGCAAGGGGCCGGTGCCAAGCTTAACGAACCTCGCAGGCACGATTCTCCAACTGTTCGACTTACTCTTGCCACAAACATCCTCATGGTTGACGCCGTGCCACCACATCACGGCAAGACCATACCATGAAGGATGTCATCGCGACGCTCGGCTCCATGTCCGTCCTCTCGCTTCGACGATGGATCGCTAGCCACGTTCAGTCGTTGTAACTCTTGTTTCTATAGTAAGCAATTATATGCAGCCCTAATTACAGTTGGGTCTGTTCTCGTTCGCGTGGCGCTTTACCTAGGATATTGACTCTATCAGGGCTTTCTAGGTGTGCTACTGTAGTTGGGCCTCTTAAACATCGCCTACCCAAATATGTACAGAAACAAACTCGTTACATCATGACATGAAATCTGCCGAGTTTGCTATGTAACGACAACGTCAGATCTCCGAGCCCCCACGCATAATCAGTTCCAGCGTTTTTCAATTCGGCAATGCTTACACTGCTCAGGCCGTACTTGTTATAGGCAATGCTCCAGGGATTTATATGCTAGGTCTTGAGCTTTGCATCTACAAGTCCTTTGTCGTACTATCGTCCCTCTCTTACAGCGAATTGTACAATTCTCCCCCGGCGAAAGGCGCTTAGGAATCGAAGATCTCGCATTATGAACGCCTCTATCCTTCTAAGCTGCCTCTTCACGGCCATTGCAATTGCCTCACCTTTGAACGTCAAACAAGTGAGTTTTACCTCGTGCAGAATTATAACGCCTATGAGCAGCGTAATGAGGTGGATCATTGTTTGACGACAAGCAGGAACGAGATGTCTGCATCGAAAAAGGCTCGGGGTGCATGATTCAAGGCACCCGGCATTGCTTTGGTCGATTGCTGCGCGGGCCTTAAATGCGAGACTCTCCCCTTTGTAGGAGCCGTCTGTGGACTTGCGTAGAGGCCTTAGTTGGAATCATTGCGGGAGATGGGATATCTGGAACCGCTCGACAATCGCGAGAATGTGGCCCGCGCTTTCAACATGCGTGTTCTCCTCTTTAACACCACAGAATCCACATGGTCCTGTTCAATATTTATGTTAGACAGATACGTTCTCTGAGAATGCACACAACGACTCGAAATGCACGTTTAGTGTACCATTCATTCAAGTAAACCGGGAAGGACGAGGCGGCAAAATTCTCGAGCGAATCTGAAAGCGCTGGAAGATAGTTGTGCCATTTGCAGCTAACAATACAGCTTAATCTAGCCGCTCTCGCCGAGAAGTTGTGTCCCTTGACCTTCACACACGATAATATCTTCAACGCACTTTAGAGCCAGACTGCTAGGTATCGAGTACCTATCTTATTCACAGTTCCGAAGCAAGAACTGATTTTCCCCTGGAGGGTCGGGACAAACCAGATGACCAAGTTTCTGAAAACTGTCGAAACTTTCTAGCGTTCGTATCGCGAGCTTGTACGCGGGTTCAAAGCGAGACTACGTATCGTGGGGCGCACAGACCGTGTCACCATTCGCATGATTCGTGCCCTGAGAAAGGGGCGTTGGGTTGGTCGTCTGTGAGCGCCTGGTACGAGCCATAGCACGTGAAGTGCAGGACTGATGAAGGTTGATGGATCTTGTGTCTCTTCATCATCGGTAGCGTGAAGCCTCATGATATGGACATAAGTGCCCGCCATCTGCAACAGATTTGAGAGCAACGCTTCGTTGAATTCATGGCATTTGGCCTCGTTGCTTCCCATCTAGACTATGCCATGTGTCGCTGAGAGTCACACCACCTGGGGCTAGAACAAGCCCGTTTGGTCGACCGCAGACTCACTGACTTTTGATCGCCAACCGTCACTCGTGACGCGCTGATTCTGGGACATCTTAAGATATTGTTGTCCGCATTCTTGTCTCGAAGAACGCTATGAATTATCCTCTAGCTGATGCAGCGGTGCGAAACGGTTCTTTACCAAAAGCCCCGCAAAACGGTGAATGACTTTCCGCAATGTGATCAAATCCTCGCTGAGCTGTTCTCGATCCAAGTCTATATCCTTTGCATCCCCGAGGCTGGAATCGAATGGCACCGCATCTGCCTCACAGCTGGTGTTTGCCGGGGGCATCGATCCGTCCTGGAAGTAGTTCTTCACATACTGAACAGTACATTCACTTGGTGCAGCAATGGAACAATGTCCAGGGGAATCTTGCGTGAGGACAACAGCACCGTGGAATCCTTCTGACATTTTCCTAGCGGCGCGAAGTGGTGTGACTGGATCGGCAGTATTGCCAATTAGCAGAATGGGATGGCTGGTCTCGCTTTTCCATGGCCCTGCGAAATGTTGGTGTGGCCGTACGCTATAGTGCGCGCAGTACATTCGCATTTCTGCCCATATAGGGCCGACGAAGGGGGACATTCTCGTTACATTTTGCAAGTGCTCTTCGAAGAGTGGACGGTCCAACCAGGTCTGGTCTTTGCCATCTGTACATGCGATTCCAATCGTGGGACCTAGTCTAGAATCTTCGCCGTAGATGCTCTTGCTGCACATAGGTACATCGGAAGGTGGCGCATTGTGAGGTTGATTATGAGCCGGACCGAAGTGGTTAACGGCGTCGTCGTGGAAGAGCGTAGCATTGCCTTTCTCGATGTCGGAAATAAGGTTCGCCATGAGCGGGAAACCCGACAGGGGCGAGTAGAGCGCACCGAAAATGAAGTTCTTAACATCGCTGTATGTGATGACCTCTGGGCAACCAGCCCGAATTATTGGTAAAGGGCTGTGCTTGAGCTTCTGCATCACATTCGTGAACCTCGTCTTAACGTATGCAACAGTCGTTTCTCCCGTCTCGCTCGCTAGAGCGCACGGCGGATGCCCTGCTCTTGCACAGTCCTGGAAGAACTGATGTAGAACCTTCTCTGCATCTTCGAGGTTATTGTACCATAGCGCAGATTGGTAGTCGGAGGCATCCATAACTCCATCAATCACCAGGCGATGGACCTTGTCTGGAAACATTGCGGCGTACGTCAGACCAAGATATGTTCCGTAGGAGAAGCCCCAGTACTGTATCTTTTCTCTACCTCTTATGTACCTCAATGACTCCGGCACGAGAGTACAGGACTGACCAATGTTTCTCGAGGTACGACAAGCACGTTTTTGCCTTAATAGTCTTGCGGCCTCTTGCTCTCTCCATTCTCCATGGGCCTCAATGATGGATACCATGTCTCTCGCTACCGACATAGTAGTCATATACTTTCTTATGTCAGGACTTCCATCTTCTGATAAGATAGAACAACTTTGGCCGTAAGCTGTAGATGCCGACCACAACCTTCCAAGTGTCTCATTCGAGCTTCCTAAAAGTCCTTCGTGTCTACGACGGACGGCCCACTTCGCATCCTCGAGTGAATTCTCTAGGCAGTGCATCGATGGCAAAGTACTCCCCACGCCACGTGGATCAAAGCCCAGAATTTCGAAAAATTTGCCTTTCTCGTCATCCAGTACTCTACGGATAGCATCTCCCGCTTCCAGTACCATCTCGACACCCGAACCTCCTGGCCCCCCCGGGTTGATAATCACAGCACCACCGTAGCGGGAATCGGTCACGGGCACAGCAGCCGGTCGGCGTATAACTGCGAGCCCGATCGTACCATCTGTTGTACCGTTCCAGTAGTCCATAGGGAGGTCCAATCTTGCACATTGAAATCCGCTCCCGTAGCAGTCTTGATACTTTAGATACGGCAAGGGCAGGGCCGTGTCCCAACTCCAACCATGGTTCTTGTCGGGTGATTTGAAGCTCAAGGGCGAAAATAGGTCGTCTAGTCCGCTCCCTCGCCAGCCATTGAATGTAAGGAATACAAGGCAACTGACTGAGCCCAAGAACAAACAGCGTCGAAATGGCAGGACTGCCTCGCGTTGCAACGGCGATCCACAAGGATTTGATTCTTTCGAACACCGAAAGCGTTCTCTCTTCATTTTGATCGTGTTTCGAATGCTAATGACGGGGATGGCGAGCAATGAACGATGGGCGATGCCTTTGCAAGATTTGCTCGGTACGGGGATGACATCACTGTTGGCTTCAGCTTCGTAGCTAGATATCACATGTACGTTAGGACTATAGCGGATGAGTCAGACGTTTAAAATACCCTGCAAGAAAGTGCTCAAGATACGATTCGTTCTTACTTTAATTTCACACGGTCTTTGTTTCAGGGAATCCTTGTTCTGCTAAGTACTGCGTATCATAGACACCTAGCTAGACAAGTCGGTCAAGGTAAACTACATCCTCAAGAAAGGAGGCTCGTCTACAGGATAGAGAACTATTCCGGAGGCTACACCCCTAAAAAGGACTGCATACAAATGTTCTCTAATAACATTGACTAGTGGGGCCTAGCAACAGCCGCACCTTTGGTGAGGGCACGGGTCAGGGTCCAATCATAGATTCGGGTTGAGGTCTCCAACAGAGCTACGGTAGCGACCGTTACCAACGAGACTGATTACGAAATTTTGCTTTTGACCGGTAGTCCTTAAAAAACAAAAGTGGTACTGTTGTCTCTTTTGATATCTTGCTTTACTTGTTTGCCTCGTTTGTCGCCCTGCGCTTGTACTTTGTACTTCTGTTGAAGTCTAAGCTCAACACTACCTACCCTGTACCATGTTTTGGGACCGGAATCGCTTAAGTCATTATAATTTTAGAGCGGAGTCATCCACAGCCTGTTCTGAGGAGAGGTTGCGCCAAGTGCTCCGTTACGTGGGAGACGGCCTGCTCTTAGGTGATAGTTGAGTGGTCTTCGTCCTACAATATACAGGCAAGAAGCTGCTATACATAAGCGAGGAGGACATTGAACAAAGATGCTACGAGTTTGCTACAATCCTTAAGACTAAGACAAGGAGACTAAAGCCAAATTAGCCTAGTAGAGCAGATAACTTCTAAGCAAAGATGTAGGAAGAGAGGACTTGATGCGAAGAGATCAAACTGATGCAAAATGTAAAGTCGGGCTCGCTTTTTCTTGCGATGGGATAGACAGTCAAGTATGCGGCAGGGATAAGGGGATGGATGGCGCACCCGACCAACGTAGCGAATGACTCGCCATGGTATTGATCACTAAAAAACAGGGCTGCACTGTGTTCTTGGCTCAAATAAGTCTGACAATGAGCGGGACACACGTGATAGTACACTGTCGGATTCACGACCTTGGCTTTGCCCAAATCCGGATGTACAGATGCGGAGGACTGAAGATATTGTGTTACGAAAATGCTAAGATTATGATGGCTGGCATTTAGCAGACCCCAGTCCCGTACCAGTCCCGTGCCCATCGCAACCAGTAGTATTATCCGTCATGTCTCGTCATTTGTGATCGTGGTCTTGTAGCAATGATTCCCCACGGACTGACGAACGTCTAGTGTCTTTGCAAAAGCTTGTCACCCTTAGAGACCTCCCATCATTCGACCATCCACCGGGTTGGAGGCCAGCTTCCAAAATGCGTCGGCAGGGCTACCAACGTAGCACACTGCACAGCTCTAACGTCCAGCACGATCTTATGCCTTTGATGTCATAGGGATGCTGGAATTGGGCATCGAGGTTTGTGACCTGGAAGTCCGGCGCCTGGACGTTTTGCCGCCGCGAGGCCGATAGAAAATGGCCATAACGACGGTGTACGTGGTGTAGACAAAAAGCAGCCATTCTACTGCTCCAACGGCTGTCGCCGCCGCGATCGATCCGCAATGATGCTCTTCTGCCGGACATGTAGTGCTCCCGAGGTTGACAGCGGTCGCAATGAAGCCAGCAAGCCATGAGAGCATCGCGACCGCCTCAACACCAGCACAGGTGTAGCCGATCCACTTGCCGTCCGCGGAGCTCCTACCAACAATGAGGAGGAAGATGACACCCAGAATTGTCCACCCGGCACAAAACATCAAGAAAGTCCACGCGGCAGGGACGCCTTCATATTCGTCGAAACTGCCAAACCAGTACGTTTTGTGGACGGTATGGCCTTGGTACTCGGATATCGCTAGGGTATGGGATCAGCCTCGGCTCTTTGTGTTCATAGCTTGTTATAAGGTTCCCTCACCGTAGGCGCCTGTTCCTATGACAACGATCGTTAACAGGACCTGCAGCGCTCGCAGCACCAAGTCGATAGTTCTGTTTGCCGCCAGATTCATGGCTGTTGTTTGGATGATTTCAGGAGCTGTGTAGTGCCAGAGAAGGTGATGGGTCGAAGTGCAGGTGGAATATATTACCTGGGTTCGTCGTATTCGAATACGACTGAAACAAAGCTTGTGCCCAGGGAGATGATGCCTCACTGGCTGCGGAAGCACCAGCTACGAAGATCCCTCACGTCACGCCAGGCAACAGGATTCCCGGGCAAAATCACGTGATAGCGGGTGAGAAGCATCACGTGAATATCTTCCTGACTTTCCATCTCCGTTGACGAGGCTGGAAGCGTCAATTGGCGAAAAACACGAACATAGCGAGTAACTCAATTTTTGGAAATCAGTCGTATCACGGTGCATTACACGTCTGCCTGCGGCCGTGACGGCCTCTGCAGGTC